ATTCTGTGATTCTGTGACATCTTTGCTCACGTGGTGATTTGATGTCAAAAACCTGTCGGAGTCTTGGTCCTTTATCTGGTACAGTTTGATATTTTCAGAAATGACTACTGCTCCTGGCTTACGCAAGTGAGCAATCAGTGCATCCTGTGCAAGATTCACACTGTTCCTGTAAAAAATTGGGGAAACCAGGAGCCTGGCTGTCCTTACACGGCAACTCCCCATCATTGCTAAGAGTAGCTGCTTCTGCCAGGGCAGTGTTTTTGTTAAATAGAAGCCTTTTAAATTAAAACTATCTCAGAGCTCTTCTGCAAAAATACCAGACACTAGAGAAAACTTATTTTCTGTCATTTCAGAATTCCTTCTCTTGTATACAATTTCATTGAACATTAGATCAGTGGTTGCATTTCTTTTCAGATTAAATACTCTTACAAGGCCTATTTCTAAACTGCAAATAGTTTGAACAACTTCAGACTAAGCGCAATTCTGAAAATAGGGCTTGATTCACCACATTTCACTGGTAGTCTTGTAGATCTGGTCTAAAGTCTAACTTATTTTAATCTGTAGCCTATGCAATCTTCATTTTTCACATTTATGCAGTAGTTCATACAGGCAATCTGAACTACTAAACGTCAAATTAAAATTATAATGAGTGCTAGAGAAAAACAAAATCTCCATGTGTCAAACTGCTCGCTATCTGTCCCGTCTGTCAGAGGACTAATTAGATATTACATGGGCAAAACAGAGGCAAAAGAAAACCTGGAAACAGATCCATTCTATACCAGCCATGGCCCTTAGGCACAAAACTCCCATTCTTAAGAATGCCAATTAGATCTCTCTCCACTTGTAGAGATTTATATATTGTACGTGTTTATAACCAGTACAACCTTCTGTTTTTCTTTGAAAGCTTATGATATGGCAAATCAGGGGTTGGATAGAAACCAAATGCTTTATTATTTTAGTTTGTTTTTAATGTTCCACCAATTAAAAGCGTGTATGCAATTTCAGTCTAATTAAGACATTTTTAAGCATACAAGAAACACCGGAAGATAAAACTTGCTCAATTTATTCATGTCGTTATTCCCATTTAAGTGGCCAGATCCTGAAATGGTATAAATTGGCATGCTCTAATCCACTCAATAGCAAGATAACTACAGGAAGGCAGAGTGTTCAAGGATTTGACCTTACACGTCCTATACCAGAATGCATAAGGCCAGAAGTTTGTCACAGAGGTCCATCGAGCAATTACTTACTTTTCCCTTTTCTTGGCAGTTGTTAACATGGAAAGCAGGTCAGCGCACCTGAGTACGTTGGTCCAGGAAGCGCAGCAGCGAGTTACTGAATTATCGGCCCAAGTGATGAATGAAGGCCTTTGTACAGACAACACCGAAAAAGAGAAGCAACTAAAAGCATGGGAATGGAGATACAGGCTATACAAGCGCATGAAGGCAGGCTACGAGCACGCTAGTAAGTAGACAAAAGTAGCTGCAAAATTCAAGACAAGAACTCTACAACTGAGAACACTCTGCCTTTGCCAAGCAAAGATGCTCTCACCAACTGATCCTCACAGCACTGCTGTGAAGCAGACAAATGCTAGAGTGGGAAAACTGAGGTATATGACTAAATGTCCTTCCCAAGAATGAGAAGGAAATTGATGTTAGAACAATAGAGGACCAAATATCTGAGAGCAACAAGCACATAGCTCCTTTAGCAGTGGGCTGCATGAAATCAATGAGACCTCCAAACTCTTGGTTCAGGATCTAATGATTCTGTCCTGCTTATTTCTCTTCACATTTACTCCTGTACCTCATTTAACGTGCTCAGAGTTTAAAACTGGGTGATTATAAAAGCATGTATGAATAGGGAGGAAGAGGGATGATAACACTGGCCTTTTTTCTGTTGTAATTTGATTTTTTTAAAAAATAAATATTCAGTTTTGAAAGAAAGGAGTTCTAAACATTTGATCAAACATTGGAATTTCATTTTACGTATAAAAATTGTAAAAACTTAATCTTCTTTTCAGCATTTACATGTAACATTTGATCAGCATAGTCACAGACTGGGTCACTTCAAACAGTTCTACAGCTGAGTCTGTACCCAAAGTAAATGTGAATTTTGGCCCATGGGAAGGAGTAAAAAGGGCTGAATTGTTTCACGTGTAGATCTTTTAGCTGTACCCTATTAAATGAAGTGCAATCATTGCCATTAACATTTTTACAACCATCTCTACATAAATATGCTTACAAATAATTTTCTCAAATGTATTGTATTCCAAGATCACTTCTTCAAGAGAGATGTAGTGCTCCGTGTATTAGATACTAAATACAGGACATACAGCAGTGTGTTAACATGATTTTTTTAATCAGTCCCAGCAGTAAGTCATGACATCTTGTGTTTAATTTCTGAATTTACTCCAACTGATGTTCTGTGAATTAAGCTTTAAAAAAAAAAACAAACCACAAAACAACACAATGTTAGGCCTCAACTGACAACTGTATTTTGGATCTACTACACCGAAACATTTGTGGAATTTGCAATTTCTGAATCACAATAATGTAAAAATGGTTTCTGTTATTTGAAAAATTTGAGTTTGCTAGTGAAACCATAAAGGTTTAATTAGCTCTTTGTGGTTTTGTCCTTTCTCTCTCCTCCAACCCACCCCAAGAGATTTATAGGGGCTTTTCATTGACATAATTAGCATGAATCTGTTTTATTGGGTTACATATATGCAGGAAGATATTTTTAACCGAAAGGAGCCAAAAACCATGATAGAAACAAATGGTGTCTGCAGGATATTGTTAGCAGGGGCACTAATTAAAATGCTCAAAAGGCAGAGAACACAAACACCTACAACCCAAAGCTCACAATTGCAGGGTGATTTTCAGTGGGTTCTTTGAAGACTCAGAAACATTGTTTGAATAGGATTTGTTGTGCTGAAGAGCTGATGTTTTCTCTTCTCTCCCAGGAGCCCCTGAGGCGCCAACCCATGTCTGTCTCATGGTAACAAGCAGTACATCACTCACTGTCACCTTCCAAGAACCTCTGAGTGTCAACTCAGCTGTGGTGACCAAGTATAAAGGTACTGGATTTAGACAACTTTTTGTTTACCTTAACAATGTACAAAAATTTGAGGGCTAAGTGATAAAGGTATTTATCTATAAGAGATTATTTTACAGTGCTAACAATGTTTGAATTTAATTATTTTCCAAGTAAACAGTTGCAGAAGTGGAATTTTCTTAAAAGATTCCCCGAAGACAAAATCTTTAATAAAAAATAAAAATAAATTCACCAAAAGTTTTCTCCATGAGTGCTTTAAGAAGTTTGCTTGACTCGCTGTGGTTAGGACATCAGCTCAATGACTGAGTTGAGATGAGTAGTTATAAAACACAAGCTAACTTTTGGTGCCTGTGGCCTCCTGAAACCGTGTGTATCCTTGTAAATGCCAAACCCACACCACCATTCCTTAAAGGAATGCCTCTGGAAGCTGAAACTTTTGGCAGAGGCATCATACAGCCCAACTAATTAGCTATTCCAGGGCTGCCACATCATTCTTGGAAGAGCAATACATTTGGGGTGGCACCAGTTACTTGCAAAGTGGAATGAACAGGAAAATGCTTCCATCTGAATAGCGCTGTTGAATAGAAATGGTTTCAAAACAGAATTTCTGTTCCACAGGAAATTCCAACATTTAAAAATAAATAATTACTGAAGATTAGAACAAAAAAGAGAAACTAAAAAATTTCCTGTTAAAAGGACTTCCAGATTTTATACAATACCTAGAACCATAAGTTCTTCAGTGTTAAGTGCAGCAATTTGCAGTCTCCATCTTTCAGTAGGAGCTTTTCACAGGTCAAGGCACTGAAAAGCACGTTTCTGAAGATCTGCGGGCTTCTTTGCCCAGCCCAGGGCAGTGAAGGTGTGGGGAGCCTGAAAATCCTGTTAGTTACTTCCCACTGTCTCTCTTAATGTTTCCTGTTGTGTTTGTTTCTTTGTATTAATAATTAAAAACTCGTTGGAGAGGTACTTGCACCTTCGATTTCCTTACACACAGCAAGACCCGTAACGGCTGTGTTGTGGGGCAGTCCGTTCCATGTTTCCATGTGTGGGTGTCACAGGGATTGCTTCAACAGGAGGGATTTTGAAAGCCTCAGTCCATGGAGGGTCCAATACCTCACGGAGCCCGTCCGAAGGTGGGATGTGGCAGTGCACACGCTCCACTGGCATCAAGCACAAACACCGAGAGGACTGAATGAGTTAGTTTGGAAAAGGCAGATTTCCTCTTTCTTTCTTCCTCTTGCTTCTGTTCAGAAATTCCAGTCATCACTGACTATGCCCAGTAAAAAACTTTTACAGTGTAAGAAAACAAAACAACCTCCTAGACATCACTAAAGTCATCACAGCAATTCCATTCCCGATAGCCTCAGTAGAAGGGTGAATTACTGTATTACACCTAGTCAGCTGTGCAGTGCTGCAGGAAGTGTGATTTTCAAAAACACCAAAGCCCTTTAGAAGCCTAAATCTAATTTTCAGCAATGGGCTAGGTTGCCAGGAAACTAAATTTCATTTAAGGGCTTCCTACTGCCTGATTTACTTGTGAAAATGATACTTGGGCTCCTAAAGTGCTTAAGTTCTCTTGAAAATATCAGCCTACTCTTTATAATGCACTTATTTTAAACAACCTTGAAATACTGTCCACACTGTAACTATAATGATTGTTGATATTTTCACAGTAAAGCAAATTATTGAATGGAATTGACTTTTTAAAATAATTTTCTAAAGGCTGTAGAATTTTTCTCTTGTGTATCCATTTGGGTTGAGTCTGTTTTGCACCATGTCAGTTCTGTCCTCTTTTGGTAAGCACAACATTCAGAGAAATTTAATCCAACCTGACCTAACTTTCTGATCAGACTAGGTAGCACTGCTGCCATATTTTCAGTTACCTTCACCGGTGACCATTTTGTGCTTTATCAAGTTGACAGTTAGTTTTGCCAGCATGTTCTTTTTAAATCCTTTATCCCAGGAGACTTGCATATTTATGGTTAGATAAAAAGAAAGATCGTTAATAGCTCCTTTTGGTGACTTTCGGGAATTAATTAAGCACTGGTTGTAGAATTGTTTATTACATTATGGAGTGAGATTCTTTGTGCTAGTTTGAGGGGTCATAAAATGAACCTTTCAAATGATCACTTACAAGAATGATTAGAACCAGCTAGCAATTACTAGCCCTGAAAGAGCTTGATAACATTGTCTGATATATAACCTCCTAACCAGAAAACCATCTAAGCATTTTGCTAATTCAAGGACAAAAATAAGTTGTTAGTGCTTTTTTCCCCTCAATACTTTGCTATTTCTTTTTCTAAACAAATTAAAATTCAGGAGCATTCTCAGCAGTGTTTAGGGAATACCTGCTCATTAACAGAAGCTAATAATGTTCTTTTCTCTGGACCTGAATTATAGGGGGTAAAAACTGACATCAGTTTAGTTCCCTGAAAACATTGAGAAACTGCCAACTCCTCTTTTTTGTGTCATCTTTTTTTGACATATTTTTTCCAATGCTTTATTTGCCCAAATGTCATTTAGAAACTGGTCTTGGAACATTATCTGTCTGCTATTTTCCTGTGTGTGATCTTTTCCCTTGTCAGCTGTATAACTTACAAATAATAATACAGGAGAATAATACTTTGCACTCACTCTCTAACCACTAAAACCATCTCACTTCATTAGGAGATTTAATTTTAACCACACACGGTGAACGGGTATTGACTTTGGTGTCCCAGCTGGATGGCAGCTCAGCGACTGCATTCTGTTGAGCCATTGCTTTCAGGAGCCAGAGTATTCTTTACTTCCTCTCCTGGATTGTTGTTTAATGTTGCAGGCACCATCCTAATGGCTCCCTTCAGTTTCCCTCCAGAGAAGGTTACAGCATGGTGGTGGCTGATGTGAAATGGTTCCTATGTATATTGTAACTTAGTAAAGTGTTTTGAGGCTGGAAGCAGACAGGCATGACATAAATCAATAATAACAGTAATAATCTGCTCCATGCTAGAGAAAGATTCGAAGCCAGAGACACCTCACTCCAGCCAGTTTTAGGAAGGATGTGAAGCATCACTGTAATATGGAGAAGAAAAACCCCTGCCCTTGGCTCATCGTGCCCTAAAGCTAAACTTATCCCATCATGGAAGTACTTAAGACCTGCTTTGGTTTTACACCTTTGAAAACACAATCAAGACGTTCAGCACTAATATGCAAAATAACCTGTTACAGTTTGAAGCTAAACTGAACTTTCTGGTGACACTGTTGTATTGTTACTGCATGATGCATTTTTATCCCAGAGCTACACCACCACAACTGTCTTGATTCAAAAAATCCCGGCAGCAACATAATCCAGATAGGCACCACTCGACCTCTAAGAACAGTCCCAACAGAGCCCAGTAGTAAGTGCTTGTATGGCTTTTAAGAACTGTCTTTCACTAATTAGCCTTTCTAGGGTTCATGTGTTTCACATAACACACACATAAAGAAAGCTGGGGTTGGTTTTTTTAAAGAACAAAATGATAAGTAATGGTAAGTAATTCTGTTGCATTTATTTTTTGTGCATTTGAAACCTGATTATTTTGCTTTTACAGTGAATAAGTGCTCTTGTGGCATAATTTTTTCATACATTTGCCATCAGAAGTAGTCATAGTAATGCTGTGATCCTGAAATATAGGATAAGGAAGAAAAATGGACACAGCACTGATCGTTACCTACTGGAAGGGACCACTATGTAGTGGAAAATCTCCATTTATATTTTATTTACAATTTTTAAACAAACATCCATATTCCCTTTTGGAGAAAAAAAATGAAAAGGCTTGTATAACCAAAGCTAAGCTAATTTATTTAAGAGCCTGGAACTATTTCTGTTTGAAGAGAGAGAAAGACAGGAAAAAGTCTGAGCCATGTTTGATGTAGCAAACAGAGCTGATCTGCTCTCTGGGTGTAGCTGTGGTCCTGGATGCCAAATTATTTTCCAGATAGTGATGCTAAACTCTCTAGGCCACTTTAGCTTAGATCAGGAAAGAAGGAATTACATCTTGCTTAAATTTTTACAAAAAGTTGCTCCCTGCCTGCCTTTTTCAAGGCAATTTGTGGTTCATTTCAGATATTTTTGCATGAGAATAATTTAATTTGTCTTTAAACCACTAGTTAATTTGTAGCTAGGTACGCAGCAGGCACAGTACGTTGCTATCGCATGGCTGCATGAAATGGATTGGATATGGGTAAGCACCTTTGTCTAAAAGAGGCTGGTGCAATTTGGTGTTGTCACTGTACATCTCAACTAAAGGATGAACGAAGCTGCCTTTTCATCAAGGGTCAGCACCTGAGATCATGGGAGGAGGAAGCCTGCCAGGTTGGGCCTGTATGATATGTTCTGTAGCTCAAAAAAAAAATCCATATTTGATCCATCTCACTGTGTCAACGGAAATATTTCATGGAAAATTTCAGTGTGAAAAACCTCAAACTTTTTACAAAAACTATCTACAAATTTTGTGTCATTTGGCATGTTCTACTCTCCTTTCACAACCAAATAACCCTATCATTTTGCATGGGCTCCTGCTTGTCCCTGTGAGCACGTCCAAACAGCACACGCTATATGTTTTGTAAATACTTATTTGATTCGTCTATCAGTAGTTGACTTGCCATGTTCGATCAGGTTTGGATTTGTTCCACAGGCTTCCTGCAGTGATCCTTCCAGTATCGTACAGTAGGTTTGGCTCCAGACAGATTTGGCAAGCCAAAGGCAGAGCTCACACACAGACCTAAGCACACATATATAAATGACATTCCAGCTTTTTCCTCCACTTTGGTGGCAACCAACTGTTCACAAAGCAGTGTCAGATTAGAAAACAGCAAGTGTCTGCTTTCTTTGATTTCTAGAAGGGCTCTGATTATGGAAATAGATGTTTGTAGAAGTGAATCTTAGGTGCTTAGGTGCTTTAATTTTAATTTTAATATCTATGTGTCTTACTGAAGTAGATGCTATGTCACTGCTTGATCCTGTTACAGTTTATAGCGGAATTAAATAGCACGCTGCATTCA